TCTGAATTTGCATTTTAAAGAAGCTCCTGGAAGACTAAAGTCATAACTGCTGCTGGCCAAGAGGACTAAAGCCCTAACTCTAACTGCACAGCCTGACAGATGGGCCTTCCATGATGTGGTATCCCCTACCTTTCCTGCTTCCCCTCCCCTCTTTTCCTACACAGGTTCTCAAAACCTACCCCGTGTTTATTTTCCTTCCCTTCTTTACCTCCACCATGCTCCTCGTCAGGAGTCCTCCCTCCTCTCCTAATCAAAGGCCCCCCCTTCCAGGGTCTGCCACTTCTCTTTTGTCAGGATTTCGGAGTTGTCTCAAGTGGGGACAGGAGTGCCCCCTTTTTAAAAATTTATCTTCATTGTTGAAAGTATTACACATGTCCCCCCTTTTCCCCCTTGAACCCTTCCACCCTGCATCTGACCCCCCCACCCCCAAGGAGGGCCACTTTCTTATATTCCCATGAAAATCAGCCATTAGATGTGGGCAGGTCACCTCCTCTTCAGCCAGGAAGTCTTCACGGGTTGACAGCTCAGGGCCTTCTGCCCGCAGCACTCTCAGCAGCTGGAAAAAGAAGTCCTTAATCCTGAAATGAAGTCTGAACAGTGTATCATGGCATCCAGCACAGAGTGGAAGACAGGGGGCTCTAGAGTTGCCACTGACCAGCTGGCTAAACCTGGGTCAGAGCATTCACGTTGCTGAGCCTTGGTTTCTCATAAAAAATTATGTCTGGGGAGTCACCAGCTGTGATGGGCTGAGGGTAGACCATGATCTGGCTGTCGGATATGGAAGGAACTCTGCTGAGAGGCTTGATATGAATCCACAGGTCATCCCCAGGTCCTCCCATAAATCCCAAGCCCTATCTGGGTTGCTGTGGGTGTTATCAGAAGGTCAGGAGATCACTTGGCACCCAGATCAGGGATGGCATCTAGGTGAGAGGGGGCTACCTTAGGGACCTGACAGCAGGGGCCCTGGGAGCTCTATTATTTGGGATGGTTTTCCTTAGAGTCCTAGAAAGGCCACAGAGTGGTTGTCAGGGACTGAATGTTTGTGATGCCTCCCCCCCCCCAATTTACATGTTGGAGCTCTAACTCCCAATGTGATGGTATTAGGTGGTGGGAGCCTTTGGGAGATGATTAGGTTTAGATGAGTCATGAG